TAATGCATGCAACAAGCAAGTCTTTTGTAAGATGGATAACTCACAAGCATACTCTCGTTTGTCCATCAATTACCGCATAAACACAGCTACAGGGATGAGATTTAGCGCCAAAGGGTGTTTTAGTGGGTGTTTTTAGTAACATAGACTCTTTTCTCCCTCTGGTGTCTGTGTGCGTTTATTTTTGGGTTATAGTTTTCTTTTCTCTGTTTTTAGGAAAAATACTTCCAGAAACTCTGGCAAGCGAACCTACTATATTACGGGTAAAAGGAAAAGCAGATTTCAAGCCTTATTTCTTCCCTTTTTAACAGTAAAATTGAACTTTTTCTCGAGGAGTGACCATGAAGGACCATAGAAACCAAAATTTTTGGGCTAGCCAGAGGATAAAGCAAGTTCAACGATGAAAACACAATTTTTTTATGTCCACAAGGATTCGCCGTAATCATTGATATAGCTGGAGAAAATTACTTTGAAATTGCGCTATAGATTCCAACAAAATGGGGCACAGGCGTAAATATAAATCATCTGTATGCAAATCTCGTGAGTAAATTTCATAGCAACACTAGACACTTGAAGCTAGCTCAAGTGGCAAGGGTAGAGTGGGGCGGCTAAGGGTTCAAACTTTCCCAACAAAACAAACACTCGCACGCACACACTTACAGACTGCTGAGTCCACCTGGCAATCTGATAGACACTTTTCATGAGATACTGCAGCAAAGATAGAGCATTGTTTAGGCACGATAGTTACATATTAGAACCAGAATGCAAAATTAGAGTTTCTTACGCCCAAAAAAAAGCCAATTTATAAAGACTTGGCACTGTTTGTTCCATCTGCTCCAGCCGTTCCTTTAATTAATTAACTTGAATTCTCACCATGGAAATCCCTGTTTTCAATAGCTTTCACATTAGACTTCTAGCTTGAAAAGATTATCTGCATCTGTTATTCAACTATGCTATAAATTATCAGAAAAATAGGTACATCAAAGACAGAGGCATGACACCTCAAAGAGTTAATAATGGTTGATGAATCTTCCATCTGATTTATCAATGACCAAATTCTGACTAAACTGTCAATATTAAATATGTGCAATACAAGGATTAGGAATTATTTTTGTGCCCACAGTCTACATGTGTTTAATATTCAAATCCAAGTTAGACGCCCTTACCCATATCATGCTGAGCAGTAGAAACAGCAGAGCCTCTTAAGGATACTCGAATCGAAGAATGGTGAAATATAGCACCAAAAGCTACAGACACAAATCAAACAGCCACAAGCAGGTTTAGCAATGTATCAAATCTCTAATACATTTTAAAATCCAAAGAACATGGTTATGTATAGTGTGCCACAGTTGTCTAACAAATAAGTCATATTGGTCTGCTAGGCAATAATTTAAAGCTCCGCATTAATTTGACCAGAAGTATTACAGAGAGCATAGTACATATAGCACAAGGTAAATGATTACCTGCAGGTTTCAACTGCATGACTTCTCTGTTTACAGACCACGGAGGGGATTCTTTCCATCAAATGAAATTTTACTTCCAACTTCCTCCTTTAATTTAGCTTGTAGACCCTGTCAGGTCAGAGAGCAACTTTTTTGCTAACTGACTAGCTTCCTGCAGGTCCCCCCGGGAACAGAGTGCAGCAATCCCAGAATAGTAGAAGTCGAAGTCATACAACTGAGGTCTTGCCATGCGACTGCCTTGAGTTGTAAATGCATCGCTTCCATTGACAGCATCACAAGATCCAACATCCAAATCAATTTTGTGAGATGACGGCACAAAACTTTAAGATCTGAACCAAAACTCTTCCCTTCACAAACCTTCAGCTGTTTATGGATAATTGATTAGATGTTGACCACCTCTGAGCAGGAAAAAGTATAGATGCAATTTCATTAAGAACTCTAACAGCTTCTTCAATTCGTCCTTGTTCAGACAAGAAAACAAGAAAATCGCTTATAGACTCTGTCTCAACCTCGCTATCCATAATGTTAATCAGCTCAGCTATAGGTTTGATCTGGAGCATTTCTCTCAATATACTCCTGGCTTCTTCCATCCTCCCTTTGGCACACAGACCTCTTATCAAATATAAGAAGCCTAAGAAATCAGGTAATATGTCCTTGCTCTTGAACTTCTCAAAGAATGCAAGGGCGCCTTCAAGGTCACCCTTCTGGCAGTAGCAATTTATTACAGCACTGACAGTAAAATGGTCAGGTTGAATAAGTTTTGTCTCCATATCATCTAAAATCTTTAAGACCTCCTCCAGTTGACCAATCTTAGAAATACCATCAAGCAATGAATTGTAAACTTGTAATTTTGGTTGAAATCCCTTCAGAACCATTTTCCTGAAAACATGATTGGCATCTAGCAAATATCCTTCTCTACATAGAGCATAGATTAATGTAGCATAAGTTATTTCAGAGGGAGTCTGACCGATTTCCTCCAATGAATCAAATAGACGAAATGCTTCAATAAGACGTCCATCAATGCACAGTCCATTAATAATTGAATTATATGATACTATGTTCAATGTAATCCCCTTTTTTTCAGCAAAGATACAAAGATCCAATGCTTTACTTACATATCTTCCCTTGCATAACCCATCAATCACAGTAGAATAATCAACAACATCCATGGCCGGTAAATAATCTTGACCCTCCATGATAAGCCTATATGCATCTAAAGCTCTTCCTTCCTTTATGAAAACCTTCAGTAAAGAGACAGGAAAAGAGGCAGCTGAAGAGTTTTTCGTTGTTTTTGCAAGAAACCAAAAGGCACGATCAACATCCCTCTGACAAAGATACTGTGCAACAATCTTATGAACCCTGGGTTCATTTATGCCGTATTCTTTTATAAAACCGTTCAAGAGAGGCAGGCTTTTCTCTAATTTTCCATCACTAATAAGCCTTCTCAATATCGTAAAAAAAGACTTGCTTGTGAGGGAACAGCCTTTCATCCTCATCATCATGCACAGTTGATTCGCATCCTCGACCAATCCTCTTTTGCATAATAAGAAGATAGAATCATTACATATGGTATTATACTTGCCTGGCCCTAAAGCTTCCATTCTGTAAATTAATTTTAAAGCCTCTTTAGCATCTTTTACTCTAAAAATTGCCTGCATTAACATCCTATATATACCTATATCCAACACTGGTCCTTTATCGTTAAGTTCAATAAATGCCTCAGTGGCCATTTCCACAATACCTTCCTTGCAGAGGCCACTGATAATACTATTGTAGCATGCATGTGAAGAAATTGAAGTCTTTCTGAATTCATCAAATATCTCAAATGCGTCATCAATTCTACCTATTTTGCAATACCCATCAATCATTGTGCAAAAAGTAACAGAGTTTGCAACCAAACCCATTTCTGGCATCCACTTGTAAACTGCGTAAGCATCTTCAAATGCTCCCAGCACAAATAGTGCTTTTACAAGCACATTACACATCACAACGTCCATAGAGATTCGAGCTTCTTCTAGTCGCTTCTTCGTTTGCAAAATCCCTGGAATGTTCTCTTCCTCAGCATAACCATGAAGCAGGGTACTATATGTAACGATGTCTGCAGGTACAATTTTTGAGAATTCATCAGCTTCGGACGTCCTCCCAAACTTGCATAATCCATTGATTACAGTATTATACGTAACAATACTAGCACTAATCCCCCTCTTCTCCATTTCATCCAACAGGTGGAATACATGATCGAAATCCCCTCTCTGGCCGAACCCATTAATTAAGGTTGCAAACATAAATTCATCTGCTTCAATTCCCAAAGCATCGATGTTTTTGAAAACAGTCAAAGCTTCCTCTAATTTTCCCTTCAAACAATACGCCGCTATAATTGCGGTATATGTGACGTTATTGGGTTCTTGCCTATCTTTTAACATCTTCGCCAAGAAGCCACTCACCTTTTTGACATCTCCTAACTTACCAAGAGCACTTATAAGTGCGGTGTAAGTCACAACATCGGGTTGCAAAGCTCCAGAACTTGCCGCGTTCTCAAAAAATCCAAGAGCAAGTTCCGGTTTCCCAATCTTACAAAACCCCGAAATCACCGAACTGCAAATAAAATTATCAAACGGGTAATTGACTTTCGCATCGGCCATCAATTCCAGAACATCAATTACCTTTCCCATGTTACCCTGGGAGCTCAGTCTATGAATTATTGAGCCAAGAGTGAAAGAAGAAGGCAAGACATTACGGTTCCTCAAACAATCCTCTAACACATAGAATGCTCTTTCAGGATCTTCTCGGGTGGTGGAAAAGCCTTGAATTAGAGCATCCCACATTCGAGTCGACTCCATAATGCGGTTCTTCATTAGCAGCTCTGCTTCATCGAATTTGTGAGATTTGAGGAGAGCCCAAGTAAAGACCGATTGAGCTCGATGGTTACCTTCAATTCCGTTCGAGTTTAACTGGGAAAAGAAATGCACGATTAAGTCGAACTTCCGGAGTCGGAGAAGAAAGAGCAAGAATCGGTTGATTGATTCTAGAGTGGGAGAGAAGCCGCTTTTGAGCAATGTGTGCAAAGAAGAGCGTCTTCTGTCAAGCAACATGGGATTGCTTCTGAGTTTCAACACCAAAAAAACCAACTTTCTATCATCAACGCTTTCCCATCCTCAAACTCACAGGAAAGCAGTCTTCCTCTCCCCTCTCTCGGCAGAGAAGAGTAAAGAACTCGAAAACCGAGGATTTGGCGATTTGCAGAATACAGTTTTGTTAGTCGGGAATGAGATTTTTTTTTTTTGGGACCTCGTGCAGTCATGCGAGAATGATTTTTTTTTGGCGAGAACAAATTTTTTTTTTGCCAAAATATAATAAGCAATTCTATTCGAAATATTATCACAGGATTTGAATTTTGCTTCCTCACGTCATCGAAGACTAGACTGACCCAATAACGCGACAACAAATATTTGAGCCAACAGAAACTCTTAAAGTCAATAAAGGATGGTAGGCCTGGGCTAAGGCTTCTGGTTCAGTGCAGTATCAAGAAATAAAAGAAGGCCGAAGCCCTTGGGCTGGATTATTCTCTTAATACAAAATGATTTTTTTCCAGTCATTACAATTGTACTTTTCATCATTAGATGTTATATTTAATACTTCCCGGCTCTTAAATATGAGACTCTTATACACATTAGTATAAAGATCTTATATTTAGAATCAGAGGAGTACCTGACAGTATCTTGAATAGGACTGTTCCTATCAAAAAAAAAATTTCATAAATTTTTATTCACGAAATTATCTTTTCATTCTATTATTTTTCTCAAATTCATTTCACTAAAGCGTAGCAAAAGAATACATGATAAGTTTTCATTCTGGCAAAATACAATTTTTCCACATATAGATTCAATAATTTTTGGCATATTATTTATAACTAATAATATATTATCCTTTTCTCTTAGCAATTAATAATATCTTAAAAAATATATAGAGGCATCACTTTTCATAGTTTCTTTTTGATGATATTTCAATAAGGTTATTGTATCAGTAAAATAATGAAACAAATTAAGTGAAATAAACTTTTAAATCCGATAATTTAAAATTAGGCAAATAAATTGTTGGCAAAAAAAAAAGGCAAATAAATTGAAGAGAAAGTGATGAAATGGATCTAAAGTGAAGCATTTTAATTGAGCAGTGTATAAATGACTTGGTAGGATGAGAGTGCCTACATGTCTCTCCGAGACTTGCCCCTTTTGTTTTCAATTGAAAGTGAATGAAGTGTTATTAGTCTTCTCCACCATCATCATCAACCAGCAGCCAACCCCAAGGAATACGCTTCAGACTATAAAGTGGCAACAAAGCAATGGCCAATGGAATATGAAATTCAGTAAAAGTTTCAGGCTCAAGGGCACTAGACTGGACTAATGCAATCAATTAGTTTGACCTGACTTGGTCAAATTATACAACTTTTTTCCTTGTTTGTGATGGCAATTTCCTCCCCTAAATTATAAACTGTTGCAAGGTTCCTCCAAATTCCAAAGTCTCAATTGTGATTTTCATATCTAAATCCAGAAATAAATATTTTAAACGGATTAAAAATAAAATGGTCAACAATTAAACATTTATTTCTGAGGAGAAAAATAAACCAGCCAAACTATCTTGTATTGCATTTATTTAGAAAAATTAAGTGAAAAAAATTGCATCAAATCAAATGTTAACTGCTACAGTACCCTATTTAATTTATTTTGCTTCCATAAATGTCATCCCATGAACCTGTCAACTGGAAAAGAGTTGATACGATTAGGGAATCTTGGGAAGTCATGATCGCTGGTCAGTGGTCAATGACCCATTTCTTACGGTCCAATGGAAAACTTTGGGTGCCTGAGGTGGACATCTGATGACTCGTTGAAGTTGAACAACTTCTTACCTCAGAGTCTACTAATACAGAATGTAAAAGATAAAACTAATATATAAATCCTTGTAAGAAATCATTTAATAAATTGGAGTAGATATAAATTGCATGCAATTATTTAATTTATATGCTGTAGAGTTGCTTAATGTCAAGTTGTCCTAATAACAGTTCACCACTTGGATGGGATTTTATATTTAAACCTAGCGTTAGATATGTTAATATAGATACATGTATTTAAATTATATAAAATAAAAATAAAACGGGGTAGAGTCCATAAATTCCATGTATGGAGTTTGAACTCTCCCAGACTTCCTAACAACCCACAAACCCTTCAAAGAAGCTGTCACTAGGGCACACAAGGCAACAGGAAAGTATGCACATGGAATGGGTCAAATCCCAAAGCAATCCCCAGAAGGCTTATTAGGTAAACATCACTCTAGCCATTCACTTATCCATCGAAGTCAAGCCAATTTGTTCATTTCTTCACTCCTTTTCTATATATGAACACACCCATATGTTCTCTTTCATTCTGCAACAAGACCACCTTAAAACACAGAGAAATGGGAGGCTGTTTCTCTTGCAGATCATCTTCTACCTTCAACACTGTCCGTGTGGTTCATCAAAATGGTTTTGTGGAGTACTTTGAGGGGCCTATTTCAGTAGGCCAAGTCACTAGTGGTTTTGGTAATCCCTCAAAGCACTTTGTCTGTACTGCACTTCAGCTTCTTTCTCCTTCCTCAAAGCCATTAAACAAAGACACACTGCTTCAACCAGGCCAAGTTTACTTCATGCTTCCATTCTCGATTCTGCAATCTGATGCTTCTTCTCCTGTAGACATGGCTTCTCTTGCAAAGAGGCTCACAAAGAAGGCAAAAGTCAAACCTTGTAAGGATAGTGATTCATCAATTGGTTGGAGTTCGCCTTCTAGGAGTCCCGGTAAGGTTGGTGTGGCAGATCAGATTGTTGTGAGTTACGGAGGAGGACGAGGCCCTTGCAGAGTGAGGCCATGGAAACCAATCTTGGACACTATCAGAGAGATTTCCTTCAATAGGAGAGAGTCTGATTTACAGGAAAATAACTGATGTTTTCAAGAGCTTAGATTGTGGGGTATGAGCGCTTTTACAGAGTCACTTTTTATTATGACGATGTTGGGTTAAAGTCATGTTAGAAACTCATAATCAAGTGAAGTGAATTTTGTGAATTGTGAGTAACCTGTATAAATTTATGGGGTAGAAAATCACTGAAAGTGTCCTGCTTCTGATGTCTGTAAATTTTGTTCTATTTTATAAACAACTAGTTAGTGATGTTTTTATATTCAGTTTTAGTTTAGTTTGAGGATTGCTTCGTCTGAAACAATGGCCCAATTTTGTGGTTTTCTTTCTTTTTCTTTGAACGTTGGTGGCGGTAGGTACTTTTCCAACTAAGGTAGGTACTTTTCCACCTAATAACAAAACTGATATTGGATTATTGGTAGGATTTAGGGGTTCTTTGGTCTAAGGGATGGTCGTAGAATTCATTTCCCGTTAGATAAAGGACTTTGTATTCTTCTGACATTAATTGAATATTTTACCGTCATAATTTTTTAATTTTTATGAAAGAAGTAATTGTTGTTTAGAATTTGAGATTAAAACCAACTATAATTAAAGTCAATTACCTGTTTTCAACCAAAAATATAAAAAAAAAATTACAGATAAAGATTAAAAAGAAAATTGCCGAAAAGTGAATTTTACATCACTTCTTATAGCTCCTAACAGTATAATATGCTCCTCTCGTTCCATGTATAAGGTATTTTTTCACACAGATTAAAAAAATCTTAAAATATATTAACTCTCCTATTTATAAAGTATTTTTTCATACAAACTAAGAAAAACCTAAAATGTATTAAATCTTATTAAAATATGATAACTTTTCAATTTATCACTATTATACACCTTTCAAAGAAAAACAATTATTAAAGTATAATAAATGAAGGGTAAAATAGTATTTTATTTTAAAAATTTAATAAAGTGACCTATAAATGAGACTAAGAAAAACCTTCTTTTTCTGCTTTGTAAATAAGACCAGAAGAGTAATGCTCAGGTAAAATTTGAAAAAATATTGTACAAAAATTAAATTAAAACAATACTGGGGGAAAAAGAACAAAACTTAGAATCTGCAATTTTTCTTCCACAATCTGCAGCTTTTCTTTCATGTTCCCCAAATATTGTAAACAAGAAAAGATACTCTAAACTTTAGCCTTCATCAATTTTTACACAATTATGAGAATAAAAAGGAAAGGAAGAGTGTGTGGGTGTAAGCCAGGATCAAGTCGAAGATGTGTGAAGTTGGCCCAAAAAAAAAAGAAGGTTGAAGATGTGGGAAGCTGGGGAAATCAAGTAAATACTGGTGCTGTACATTCAATGCCTTATATTCGGCTTCAGCAGCTTCACAAATCTCCAATTTTGGAGAATCAGAATTAATCTCTTTTCTTCTCTCTAATCACTGTGAGGAAATTGATGAGACGAAATTAAGAGGACCCTTTCTCATTGAAGATACAGAAGTATAATAATTACAGGGCAACGATGGGGGCAGATGGGACCCACTTCTCAATTGGTGAGCATTCCCAGCCACCTTCCTTGCTATGAAACACAACAAAATGTTTAGGAATCCAATTTTCTCCTCTTGCCTCTCTTTCTCTCGCCAGTTTCCTCTGGTTTTCCTCCACAGATTTCTTTGCTTCTCTTGCTTTATCCCATTCTTTGTTCATTATGGCTTCGCTAAGCTCACTCCAAACCAGGGCTGACTCTGTTGGCTTCACACTCTGATCCACAAGAGAATCTCATGTCACATTCAAACACAATGCCAAAAATGGAACTGTTTTATGAGTGAGGAGTGCGAAAATGCCTTTTCGTACACCTAAATTCTAATGTCATTGTGAAAAACTAAAAAGAAAAGAAAAGCCTTTATTTACAGATACCTTCATGAAAGATAGAAGAACCATGGAAGTCCATGCATTTGTTAACAGAACTGTTATGTTTGAATAAATTAAAAGGAAAAAAAAATTGTTTTCTTCCATAAAGGACCAAGTGTTCTTGGAACTTTTATCTTCCCTATCAGAAAATCTTTTTGCAGGCCAACCTAGAAATTCTTGGTTCATAGACATGCAGGTAAAAAGATCAAGAGGAATGGAGATGGAGAATATGAATTTGTAACCTTTGGATCGCGGACAATTGGAGCTTGGAGCCCTGAAATGACTTCATTTGCATCATATATCACTTTAACCTTCCTATTACTTGTGTCCGTTATTGTCACAGTTCTGCATTATGAAAGTGGATAAGAAATACCGCATTATCCAATTACTACAATCAAGTACTTCATAGTTACGACCACTATCACTGCTTTCACACAAAGAGAAAGGCATGAAGTCTCAGAATTCACAAAGATGCTCTAAAGGAACATACCTATCCCAATGACCATCCACTTCATAGAGAACTTTTGACGACGATGAATTGAGGATCTTCCCTTTGATCAATCTACGGCCTCCCCCAAGTCCTAGAAAAGAATTGCTTTTGTAGGTTAACTCTGCCACCAGGCCAGTCTCCAGACACCGAATATTAACATTTCCAACCCAATCAACGTCAGGGACCGGAAGAATTCTGATTAGAAGGTGAGGACAATTCATTTCATATGTTTCTCTATGATTAAGGAGCTTCAGCTGCCGTTTACCAAGGACTTGAGCCTCCACTGTAGTGCCTGTACATTTGGTTGGAATCAAAAACCATTGATAGACAGGTCAAATTATTGCTAACAAAGTTAGTAAGAGGCCAGTATCAGACTTTAATTTGCTTTTATGGAATGCAACTTAACATTAACCTCTTAAGCCTCTTTAGTATTCGGTGTCAATTTCAATATAGGAAATCTCAGTCATTACAACATTAATAAATACGTGATAGAATGTATAGTGAACTAATATGAGCAGAAGAAATGTCTTAAAAAGAAGGCTTTCAGGTTTCACTTTCTTGAAATTTGTGGCGAAGAAAACGCAAAATGTCAAATAAGATCAATTATGGATTCTTTCTGAATGTTATGGTGGTGGACTGTATGACAATTCAGAAGCTTCGCAAATAAAGTTGAAGAAGAGGACAAAAAAATTTTGGAACGAGAGGCCTTGGAAATATCAAGGATCATTCATCCTAAAAGCACAAACTTTTAAATAAAAGTTAACGAATATCTCTAACAAGAACAGCTCTGTGCTTTTGGTCCTTTGCCTTGAATGTATAGATATACTTGAATTCCTGATTTATATGAATGAAAATAGTTAGCTAGTATAAGCTTATTACTGAAGCAGATTATCACTACGTCTATTAGGAATTGAAGAAGAATATTTATGATTCTATTAAAAAAAGGTCAAGATACCATAAAACTTTGGACTAGGTTGTTGGCACCATGTCATCTCTATGTTCTCCTTCTCATCCGTTGCATGTAGGGCAGAAACGGGAGGATGGTGTGAAACCTGCAAACATGTAAGCCCACGGTTCAGTAATCTTACTAGATTATCATCAATCAATTGCTTGGCCCAAGGGGACAATTATTTTATGAAGAAAAGCTGCTCAAAGAGGTCATACTCATATCAGATTAGAGCCTGTAACGAATTTCTAATAAATCGAACAAGATGGAGACATATCCTCGGTTACAACGCTGACTGAATACTAAAATAAACAAATAATAGAAATTTCGAAACTACGGAATACCCGGAAAAAAAAAAAAAAAAAGAAAAAAAACAAGGCATGAACTTCGTGTAAAGATGGAGAAACAAGCAAAATGAAGGAGGGAAAGCAAGAACCTGTTCTAGCAGGACATTGAGATTTGCCCGAGAAGCGTGGTGGGTCTCCCCAAGAATGGGGTTATAAGGAGCAAGTAAAGTTGTAGGGCGAGTGGTAGAGATGCACCATGCAACCACAGATGTGAACCTATCCACTGGATTCTGCTCTCTGTTGCATTGGCCTAGCAAGTCTGAAGCTGTGCAGTATACAGACTCGCCATAGCACTGAAGTTGTGACTTTGGAAAATTAAACAGAGGCGGCAGCTGCACGCAGCAACTATCAGCAACAGAAATCTTCACCTCGGAAATGCAATACGTACTAAATAATTTTGTTTTTATATGATATACTGATTATATATTTTTATTGCAAGATTTATTTATTATGAGAAATATTTGTTAATTGATTTTTGTCAATAATTATTCCTTGGAAAATTAGGAAATATTTGAAATGGAGAAAAGAAAATCCTTTCTTCATTTCACATACTCAAAACCAGTTATACGATATCTATCTATTATATTATTATTTTAGTGACTGTCTTTTTCAACTTTTAGTATTTTTTTCTAAAACTTTTTATTAAAAAAAAAATTGTAAAATTACAAAGGGAGTATTTGGATATCCTCAGAAGTACTTTTTAAAAGCATTTTTCTATAAATCAAAACAAACTCCTCTACATATTTATTTCGCATATCATAAAATTATTTTAAAACCATAATTTGGTTTCCATTCAAACACCCCCAAAAACATTTTTCTTCTATCTTATCTGGGAATATTCTATGAAGCCCTGTTAAAGGAAAAGATAAAAGCAAAAAAAAAATCTTCAAATTATATTTTTTGTAATTTAATTATATAAAATTTTCAGTTTAATCCCAATAATTATGAAAGAAAAAAAATTAAAATCCCTTTTCATTTTGTGAAGTTGATGATCTAATTCTGTCACGGTATCATGCATTTTATCCAAAATTTAATGTCAAAATTTGCAGCTTGCGGACTTGGTTATCATTTCACTTTCAGATACCACTAATTCACATTTTATAAGTTTAATATTTTAAAAAAAAATCTGTAACGACACTTTTATATTAAAAAATATATTCCAATTAAAAGACAAGAAGTTACTATTGGCCCAAAAAAAGAAAATAAAAAAAGACGAAGTTACTTGGAAGTGAGTGAGATCAGATCCAGGCCGCATATTCTTAAACAGGCTTAATATCCGTTGCAAGAGACTAGGGCCTCTATAAGCCGCATCCGTGTCTCCTAATGAGAATGGCTTCGTCAGGATCACTTTTATTTCCTCCTTGCTGTTGCTTACCTGCTCCCCACCCAAAAATAGATATACTTTATTTTTGCCAATCCAAAAAAGAAGAGGAGGAAAATAACAACGTAAAGCATCAAAACATTTAGCAAGCGCCTTTCTTGTATTTTTTATTATTAAATTAAATCACAATCCATTAAAAGATGCACTATTTTATTTTTTATGTTGATATTAATTTGGTGGAGAATCATATTTCACCTCCGCTCCGCATTATTATTATTCAAATCAATCTGGACAAAGAACGTTCACGCATATGGAATTTCATTTGGGACCTATTAAAATCAAATATATATACTTTTAAATGCATAACCCTTTTTCTCCTTTTGACCTGCAACTTTTAAAGGCTCAGCGACAATTTCGTACTGTCATGTATTATTTATTTTACTTGTCCCGTTGTGCATGTTACATAAAAATAATCGCCACCAAGCTTGCCTGTGAAAATATTATTATATCGAAACCGAGGCTTGGGCCGATTTTTATTCTCCAAGTGGCATTATCATAAAACATTGAAGAAGGCCGTTCACATCCAATCTCATAAAATAACTACTACTTACAATAAAATAACAAGTTCGGTAATGATTCATGGCTATTAAACAGGGAATGACCCTATAGAGTAATAGTCAATTTAAAGTAGAAAATAAATTTACGTAAAAAAAAAAATACATATAGTACAAAAATGTTTGATGCTTTGAGATTCCCGATTTCTCGTAGTTAATTGTTTTTTTTTTGTTTTTCTCTTTAGTCAGCGATGACTACAATCTTTTTCTGGCCGAAGCACCCATTTGACGAAGAAATTGCGCGTAAACGAGAATCATTTGAACTCATAAATCGAAGACAAATCCAAACACAGTCTGGCATTTCCATGAATGTTTGTAAACAAACTAATTTAGGGCAAAAAAAAAAAAAAAGGCTGGTGGAAGGTCAAAGAGAGGAGTGGGAACTGAGGAGTGAGAACACTTCTTTTGACTCCAAAAAAATAAAAAGAGAAGTTCGTTTTATATTTGCGGCCGGAGATTTTTTGCAAATGCGTTTCTGGAAAAGTACGGGGCAGATAGTATTCTGAAAGGATGCTTCCTTAAATGAAAATTGAAATGATCTTTACTTAGCGTTAAGCAAACGAAAACACGAAACAGAAAAATAGGATTAATTAAGAGCCAGCCAATCAAAACAAATAAAGTAACCGGCCAGCCTCTGGCCATTTTCGTCGCATCGCTTTCACATTTCCAGAGGAACAAAACTTTTCCAGAAAACAGCGAGGCTTTTCGAAAGACGATCAAAGAAATTAAACGAATTCGAATAGAAGATTAGAAACGAACAAAACAAATCATCTAAAAAGAATGAATAAAACAGGAGAGAAACAGAGAACGCACCATTTGAGAAGATGGAGAAGAAAGGCAGGAATCGCTGCAGATTGAGAGCCGATTCCGATGACGATTACGAAGACGAGAAAGAGTGCTTTGCTTAGAGCTTCGATTTCTGAATCGAAAGGGGATGGCGCTTGTGAATAATATGAATATGATTTGTCTGTGGGCTTTGTGGGGTCTCAACGAGACTGCCAAGCACGCGGTGCGGGGGTTTTTATGTCCTCCTATATATACCCACACGGTTAGTCCGCATCATCCTTTTAGGCTCTTTTCATAAAATTACATTGTTGCCCTTGAGAATGTTTTTGGACAAACTCAATTCTGATTACTCCTCTCCGAATTATAAACACCTAATAACTTAACATAAATTAATGAAATTAGTTTAAATTGGTTATTTCTTATAAAATATTATTAGATGTTGGCAAAAAAAATTATTAATTAGAGAAGTTTGATCACTGAATCGTGAAGTTTTATAATTAGTTCAAAATATTAGGTAAATATTTTTGCCAGGAGGTAAAAAATTTAAATTTTTAGACAAAATATGTTATATCTATTAACTACTATATTGAGAGTCTTTATTAGTAATTTAAAATTATGGATAATTTCTTTTTTAAATATTTTGGTCTGACGAGATTACATATAGAGTTGCTTATTTGTTAAGCGGTCGGTTTATCTTAATAAATAATGGCAAAAGGTGATAGCTGACACGATTATTTCCGTTTTTTTAAAGACTTTGTAACATGATTATTTCTGAATTACATAAAATTTGTTTTCGTAAATTTAAAAATCCATCCCACTTCTCTAATGAACTTGTTTTTTTTTTTTTTAACCAACGCGTAGCGATGGTTATTAAAAGAATTTTGAAGCAAAAACAAAATAAAAAATGCCAAGGAGAAAAAATAAATTGGGTATTAAAAAATAAATTGTATAATTCAGTTGTTCTATATTGTCTCAAGTCCTAAATATGAAATTGTAGTCCATTTTGTTTCTTAAATTTATAATTTTTTATAAATTATTTATATTAATTACACATATTGAAGAGATTTATATCAATATCTAATACATGTGTTTAAAAGGTGCATCTCAGGAAAAAATAATTAAGGCACCTTAAAGAAGCCAACACACAATTTTTTCATAAATAATTAACATAATTAAATTTTTTAATTTTCATAAATTAATTGTCTAATTCACATATTTAAGATTATGTTAGATTATATTTTAATTAAGAAGGCCTGACGTTCTTTCAAATTATGTTCGATTATATTTGTTTGCCCAAAAATATTTTTAGACTTATTCTGTTTTTGTGATGTTATTTACTTACTTATGCTTTTAATAATTTGCAGAATTGTTTTATTTTTATATGTTGATTCTGACTTTATCATTTGTATTGATTGTCCTAGATACATAGTGATCTAAGTATTAAAAAAGTTCAAAAAGTAACTTAATATTTTCACTGAACTGATTCAGTTAGATCCACGAAAATTTAATTCAGATAGATCCAGCATTAATGCACATGAAAGTTTATTCAAATGCATTAAATTAAATCATGGTAAATTAAATTCTATTCCTTTTCTTTTGCCAAAAAAATTAAATTCTATTCTAATAAGTATTTTTTACTCGTCATTGTTCGCCAATGAAAAATATTTTCTTATCATTTCCCGATAAAATGTCCATTCATTTATTATATTTTTATGATTGCGAAAACGATTTATAAGTAATTTTGCTGGTTCAATAGGTTCAGTATCAGTGAGAATGGGTAATAGATGGATGGTTTTATATTTTTAATTTTGGATAATTAGTGGCATAATATAATAATTATTTTAAAAATAAAATAAATAACGCTAATTATAATTATACCATCTGTCCTGAAAGCTCAAGAGGTAAAAACGAGTGGTCTACGCACACACACATAAAACGATTTGTTGCATTTTAAAAACGTTTTTTTTACATCGTGGCCAAATTTTAAACGTGTTTTTCATTATAATTAATTCTAACTGGATGACTCGTTGCCATGGGAGAATATTGAAATTACTCCTCCGGTCCTTAATGTAAGACCCATTTAACTAATTTGATTAGATTAAGGAAGTTAGGTAAGTTAGTTAATTATAAGAAAAGTGACATATTTTTCCTAAAATACCATAATCATCTTTTTTAATACCTCCTCTCCCTTTTCTATTTGATTATGGTTGAGGGAGTATTTATAGGGGTAATTTAGAGAAAATTGATAAATATAATAAATGGGGCTTATATTTAGGACCAAAACCAACTCAATAATTGGGTCCTATATTAAGGACCGGAGGAGTAATTCTTTATTGAGCAGTAATATCACGCAAACGATATCAAATATGTTTGATATCATGATTTGGGGGGAAAAGGGATCAGCAGGAGAAGGAAATATTTATATATTTTTAATTTTTGAGATAGTAAAATGGAGATAATTTTTACTTATAAAGTTACTCTTTTAGTGTATTTTTTTTCCATTGATATGCATAAAAGATGAAATGGAATTAAAAAGATTAAAATATATATGCGTGTGTATATAAAGACACGATTTTATAATGTCAACTTGACGCTCCCCCCGTGCTTTGCATCGGGCCTTTCACTTTTAGATCTTTAACGGAGTAATTTTGAATGTGGTTTAACGGAGTTTTTTATAATAATTTTGAAAAAATCACCCAAAAAAACCGTTGAAATAAAAAAAATTATAAATAAAGACTCGTGATAATATTAGTATGGGTTTTAATAATAATTTTATAGATTTTGATAATAATTTTTATGAATAGGTCTTTTTATATAATTTTTCTATTTTATTTTTTTTGTGATTTTCTCAATAATTTTTTCCTCTTGGTCATAATACAACGCCTATACATTTAAAGTTCAACTTTTTTTTTGGAAAAAAAAATCGAACAACTCTGGTTAAGTATATCCTAGTTTTACACATCAAGAACTAAACTCGATCTAGTCTGGTTTACTATCGATTTGTTTACACTGGACCAAACCTTGAATTGTAAAGTCTAACCCAGTCTAATTTCAAATCAGATCTCGAGTTGAATCTAAACCTATTTTGCTCCAATCTTTATACAAACCTACTTAAAAGACTCACTCACATGATTCAGAAAACTAATGCATGCTAAAAATCAATACACACCAGAATATTAAACCCTCAATGCACAACATACAATTCACCCAAAAAAAAAAAAGAAGGGAAAATGAGTAGCAATATGCTCCTCCGGTCAAGATTGGCAAGCTGCATGTCCAATTTATTGCTTCACGCGGATGTTTTCTTTTCATCCCCACAGGGAATTTATTGAAGATGGTCCCCTGTAGCCACTTTGTATTAAATTGCCTTTGGTATCACATGTTAAAATTTTATATAAGGCCTCTATGGTATTATAATAATTAATGAAATTAATAATAATTAATAATTTCATGGTTCACTTTGGCCTCGTTGACATTTCACGTCATATGGGCAATGTAGCTAGACTTTATCCTTTCCACATGTTTTGTACTCCTCCGATCCTTAATATAAGACCCATTTAACTAATTTGATTAGATTAAAGAAGTTAGGTAAGTTAGTTAATTATAAAAATTGTGACATGTTTTTCCTAAAATACCATAATCATCTTTCTTAATACCCCTCTCTATCTTCTACTTGATTATGGTTGATGGAGTATCTATAGGGGTAATTTAGAGAAAATTGGTAAATATGAGAAATGGGTCTTATATTTAGGACCAAAACTAACTCAACAATTGGGTCGTATATTAAGGACGGGAGGAGTATTAATTAGGCCGCCAACTTACAAAATAGATTAAAGAGTAGAGATCAAAATTTAGAAAATTTAAAATTCGAAAACATAGAGAGGAAACACGTTTAATTTAATGCTGAGATAAGAAACTCTACCAGCAATCCAGAGAAACCCAATCGTGATTGATGATTGATTGTAAAACGTTCCTTATGCCTTTAAATTAGGAAAATATAAAAAGTAAATAACATAATGCACTAAATACCAGATATATAATTTGTTTTTGCCCTCTAGTGTATTTTGGTATAAATTTATCCATTAACATAGGGGGGAAGTGCCATAGCATCCTATGAGTCCTTGTATAAATATTATCTAAAATATGAATGAGTAAATTAAAAAATTAGTTAAGTCAATTATTCATAATAAATATGAGTTGATTTCTTTAAAGTGTCATTTTTAGTTAAAATCTCAATCCACTTTATTTTCTATATTTATTTATTTTTACAGAATAGCTTTTGCAATAGTTATACATGTTAAAGATTTCATTAAAAGCAATTCCAATACACATTATTGGTAAAGATATTTTAAGAAAAACAACACCTATTTATTACAAACAACTAACTTAATTAATTTTCTTAATATCTATAAATTAGTTATTTTGCTCTTCTATCAATCATTATATATATATATATATATATATATATTTCCCCGAACTGCCTATATTGATGGGGGATGTTATGGGCTCTATTGAGGGGTTATTCGTTGGCAAAAAATTATATCTAATTCTTATACAGATCAGAGGAAGTCTTAAAGATAAATTTTATGTCAAATGATATGTTCACATAAAGAGTATAACTCAATAAAACTTTCGATGCCGACCATTGAAGCTGTCTCCCTCTAAGAATCCAGACAGAGAATTATCAAGTCTGATGTTGCTTGATTTTTCTAGATGATTCCTATATGAATGGACGGAATTGAACACCACAAGGTATCCAACACCCAATATTTTATTCACATAACTTACCTAAATATTTATTATTAAAAAGAATAACGCGATTGATTTGGTTCTTGTCCTTGCTGCTGATTTCTTTTGTCTTCTCTTCTTCTTCTTCTTTTTCCAGTTCATGATATATTTGTTACTACCTTCCATACTTAATATAAAAGTTAATTGTAGACTTGATTTGATTGTATATATGATACCTCAATTTACCTTGTTTCCCAAATTTATAATTCATTATCCAAAATATCTCTTTTGATTATACATATTTAGGGGTTTTCATATAAAGATAGTCATTATTTTGCTAAAAAAAATAGTCATTATTAAAACTGTATTTTAAGGACATCAATTTATTTGTTTCAATTAACTAACTTAACTAATTTTATTAATCTACTCAAATTAATTAAGTAGTTTTTAAATTAAAAATGAAAGCT